ATTATAAACACCTGGTAGAATTTGGTAGTTTGTAAATATAAACCCAATTAACACATGTGGTATATTTTCACTTACTTTGCGCAGCAACTTATTTTTGCGTTTTTGTTTACGTTAGCGAAAATATAACGATACTAGCTGTGCCTGCGACTTCCTACGCGTGAAAATAGTTTGAATAACATTTCCCATTTTTGCAAAATTTTTCTTTACTGCTTCGCCCCTATTGGCTGTAGGGTAATGTATGTATAACCTAAAGCCTTCCTCGATAAATGGGCTGTCCAACACAAAAACGATTTTTCAAATCGGACCAGTAGTTCCTGAGATTATCGTGTTAAAACAATCGAACTCTTAAGCTTTATAATATTAGCATATATTTAGTATAATACCGCAAAAACACGTGTGGAACACTTCAATGTNTTAACACATGTGGTATATTTTCACTTACTTTGCGCAGTAACTTATGTTTACGTTAACGAAAATAATAATTGAGCGTGAAAATAGTTTGAATAACATTTCCCGTTTTTGCAACATTTTTCTTTATTGCTCCGCCCCTATTGGCTGTAGGGTAATGTTTGTATAACCTAAAGCCTTCCTCGATAAATGGGCTATCCAACACAAAAATATTTTTTCAAATCGAACCAGTAGTTCCTGAGATTATCGCGTTCAAGCAATCAAACTCTTCAGCTTTATAATATTAGCATATATTTAGTATAATACCGCAAAAACACGTGTGGAACGGTTGAACGGNTTCAATGTCGAAGCCAAATGTTGAATATATTAAATAATTTTGAATCGAATACAAAATAACAAAAGGACAATAAAAGCCGTTAATAAATCAAAAGTGAAGACAAAAAGTGTTACACGCCCATTGTGTTTTAGCATGGTATTTGAATTAAATACATAAATCTCACGTTGTTTAAATATTAAACACATGCGAAAGTATTACAATATACTAGCGGCCACCCGCGACTTTGTACGCGTGGACCCCGCCCCTTTGGAGTTGAATCTTAAAAAATCCCGTCTTAGTGAGCTAAAGCCTAAGTTCTAAAAGGAATACCCATGCAAAATGTGACACTCCTAGAAAAACATTGGATTTGGAAATAAGTTTCACTTTTTGTTGTAATGTCCGATTTTATTGTGTATCACTTGCTACGATTCATTTCAATTTAATGAAAGAGTGTGTCATTTATGTGTAAAAATAATAATTCAGGTATGTGAAAATCAGTATTTGCATATTTCGGGGTAACAATACCGATTCCTAAAATTCAAAACTAAAAAATTCCTAAAACCAGTTTTGTAAAACCTTACCTGTTGTCCCCAAGACGGTGTGTTCTGGTTCGAAGATTGGAAGTGACTTGGTGGACCTCCCTGTTGCGAGTTTCCGAACTGATTTGGCCCGTGAAAATAGTCCTTATTAATTGGTAACTGCGAACAAATTTCCTTCAACATAATAAATGCAATCACACGAAGGGCTTATTTGTGCTCGCTAGTCCGCGCCACTGGCGAATAAGGTTCAGTCGCTCGCTAGTGGCTAACGCACGTATTCAAAAACGATTGTAACATTNTTCACAAACGATGCTTGCATAAGTGAAGCAGCAAATCTAAGGCACAGCGTTAAACAGAGCTCTGTGATTGGTTCATGTGTCACCCTGTGCGTCCACACGCACTTTGAAACCTCATAGTAATCTTTGTGAATAAAGGCGTAAGACAGTGGCGTCAACTCGTGAGCGCTGAAGCGGTAGGAAGACAAAGCAATTTAGATTATGTTGTGTTAATAAGACGAGTTGAAAAGATAGTAATTACAATGTTAACCTAATAGAAAAACAAGTTATTTTTAGTATGCTGCTGGTTCAAAGTTTAACGTCGAAGAAGAGCTGGTTCGAAAACTGCTTAAATTAAGTAAGCCATATAGAAAAATGTTCACTCTAATCAAATTAACTGTTATTTTTCTCTTTTAGAATTTGCTATAACTGGGAACTATTTAAATCTAACGGAAAATGCTAAATAGTGTTGATGAGATGACACTCACCGGTTTGTCACCGTGGAAACGATCGGATGCTTGGTTCTGCGATGGCAGCAGTGGGTGCTGCACTGGTCTCGGGGGCTCTCCTCGGCCTCCACTCGGTACTAAGTCTACGTTCCGCAGCATGCGACGCTAATGGAGAAAGATACACACATTTATATTAGTTGTACGGTTTATAGAAAGGTTATTTCAATGTCTCTGCACGAAGTATCAATAAAACGATTTTCAGACGGTTCATTTAACGTCAATAGTCGATTTTTATTGTATTTACTTACGCACGTCGTATTGAGAATAAAAATGGAGAGGTAATAAATAGTTTTATGTCTGTCACCTAGAAACTTTTATGTAAATACTTATTGATACAGTTGACTACACATTAGACATATTGAGTACCCACGACTTCGTACGCGTGGATCCAGTTTTACCCCTTAGGAGTTGAATTTTGCAAAATCTCGTCTTAGTGAGCACCTACGTTTTAAAAGGAGACCCGGATTACTAATGTTTGGCCAAAAAACGTTTCCCAAATTATCACATCGCAAACAACGTTTCGCAAATTTTCATTTGGCAAATTGTCATTTGGCAAAACAAAAATATTTCATGATTAACTATTTACAAAATAATTTGATTGGTGCATAGAATGGAATACAAATTAGCTTGTGGTTATTATTTTGTTTAGTGGGTAGTTATTATAAAATTTGTCCTAAATTAATTTTCATATTTCATTCTTTTTATCGAAATTTCCAAATGATTCATTAACAATAGAGGTGATTCTACCGCTCGGCGGCCGCTGCCGCGGCACGCTCGCCTTCGCGCGTTAAGGGTCACTGTTCTAACCTAACCTACTATTTTCCGCAATACCTACTTTCTGCAACCATACTATTTTCTGCAATCTCTTTGTTAAAATTCTCGTGAAAACCATGATCTGCCTTATGCTTTGATTTGTGGGTAACGGTGAGTATGTGAAGTATCAATTTGACCAAACAAATTATTTGGGATATAATATTTGGCAAAATAAAACATTATTTTGCTATATAAACATTTGCCAATTAAAATTTTTCCAAATGATAATTTGACCAAATGAATTAGTTGCGAAAAGTGCAGATGCTAAAAGTTCATTTGGGAAATGAAACTTTGGCGATAAGTTGTTTGCGAAGTGAAATTTGGCGAAAAGTAATTTGGCCAAACGGAAGGATACCAAGGAACTAACTTAATTAATATGGAACTTACATTAGGTTCTGGTGCACTGTTTTTCTGATTGAACCCATATCCCGGCTGATCCTGGGGCATCCTGTTCCTCATGTCTCTCTGTGGAAACGGTTTGGGGTCACCTCTCAGCTGCGGTGAAGGTTGTTGCTGAAACAACCATTTGTTGTTACTAATGTGTGTTTGTGAAATAAAATGCAATAACTTTTTGATTTTACGTTTTGGTGCCGTGGTTGAGTGAGAGCTGCCAGCATACATAGATTGCAGGATTTGCAGGTTCTATTATCGCAAAATATCAGCAAGAATTAACATGTCTTCTGTTTTTTTCAATGCTACTTTTATTTGTTTAGCAAATTGAAAAGTACAGTAAAAGTTACCAACTGAGATTGGATAGTCACAGAAACGAACTCGCCTCTCAACTGCAAGGAACTGGCAGTCTCCACTTTTCTAGACTGAAGAGACATAGCATTCAAAACCTAGCGAAAAGATTCGCAGTGAAAGAATAAGAGAAGACTCACTGGACTAGTCTCTTACTGAACGCCTCAAGAACCGGATTGAAATCGGACAGATAATTGGATTATTGTTTCGCGGAAACAGATTGTCAAGTAGCAGATTAGAAAAGGAAAAAAAAAAAACTTTTATTTGTTAACTTAGTATACAAACAAAAAAAAAACAAGACTTAAAGCCTGCTAAATAAAAAAGAGAATGCTATGCTTTCCTAGCTCACCTGTTGTTGAAAAGGTTGATTTGTCTGCTGTTGATACCCAAAGTTGTTTGTTGGCCTTTGGGAGCCTGTCGGCTGGTTCGATGACCACTGGTTGGTGTTCTGGGCCCACGGCGAAGGCCGACCACCCATGGGAGCCATGGACTGGTTCCCATAGTTGTTATGTTGATTGGGCATGTCATTGCGAGGGGGATAGCCACCGCGCTGGTCAAAATTATTCGGAGCTTGGCTCATCGGCTGAAAACAACATGATGTGTAATTGCAATTTAAGTTTTTTTTTTTCAAAAACAATAATGTTAATGTTCTATGAGGCAGATTATCAATTTAACATAGGTGGTATCTTTAGACAATTGACTCTGTTCAAGCAGTGGTGGTATGCAGTGGGACAGGGTCATTTATCAGCTTTAAAATGTATCTAATAGTTACAAAAACAAACTTACAGGCTTAGCAACAGGCACAACTCTCAAGACGTTGCCGCCCATGCGATAGCCGTCCAAACACTTGATCAGATACGAGCCCTCGGACTCGTCAGCCACTCCGATGCGAACCTTCTTGCTAGCGTCGCCATCCCCGACCAAATTATCAAGAATGAAGTCACTCAAGTTACATTCTTGTTTAATCAACGATTTCAGGTCATGATATTTGCACTGAAATTACGAAATGTTAAAATTTATTAGGATTATTGACAGTAATAACCACAAAAGAAAGTAGACCATTTATTTATACTTACGCCTAACGGCAGTCCGTGAATTGTCAACATCATCTTGCTAAGATGATTTTAAATACTACTACTAGCTAAAAGATTTATGAATTAACACTAATTTATGTATTAAATTTAATTAAAAAATCCCCATCGTAAATCACAATCACATTCAGGCATTTTTTTTGTTTTTTTTTTTACCACAGACTAACTAAACCACAGATAAAATTAGTTCACTTTTTTTATTTCACCAGCCCATTTGAAAAGACAAGTCATCAAACAATAGTGTCTAACTAAAAATTAATGTCAACTAACTTTAAAAAAATTGCCAGTAGCCCTTGCAGAATTATTTAGTCTGTGATCTATCAGATGTGTGTCATTGATGTCACTTTGATCGATTGTCTATTTTCGTACGAAATGTTGTAAAATTTTGTAAAAAACGCCGATCGAGCAATTTGAGCAGGAAGAAGAAATACCACTCATTAATACTTATTATGTTGCTCACTATACACAACCTGCCGCCCCGTGTATGTAGCATTATTTTTCTGATATTTATTGCCCGTTTTGTACATGAAATTCATCGATAACCCTGCATAATGTTTTAGATGCGGTATGGGGACGTAAAATCTCTTATCGTCTCGAAATGCGGGTTCAAAGACATAATATTGGATAATTTGATCAACGAGGGTCGAGGGACCAAGCAGGTGACCGTTGGTTTGGCCGCAGAGGAAGACGCTGCGATGCTGGTCCGACAGATCAACGGCCTGTACGTGGAGGGAAAGCAGTTGTATGTGGAAGACGTGCGACAGAAAAATGTAAGATGTCTAGCAAAATAATGCCCATTTGTTTGTAATAGGTATAGAAACCTAGATTTTAATATGCCCACAATATTAATGGATACAAGATAATGTATGTGAGAACTTTGTAATATGAGTTAATTACTAATTAAAGTAACATGTGAGTACTAGAACAATGACATTAAGGCTTTAAACTTTAATGGCAATTTAATACAATGTAGGACCAAGTTCATAAAAATATAGTAAAAAAAACCATCATATTTGGCCCTAAAGCCCATAACAGTACACAGGCCACAATATTTTCTTATTCTCGTTTCAGCAATCCCAACAACCGTATCGTCAAACTCAAGACGAGAGCAGTTACTCTGGCTCTCAAAGAGGTACTAATCAGTCATCCAGTTATACAGCCCCAGGGAATGGTCCCCAGCTTTATAGCGGTCAGCAAATGTACATGAATCAGATGCCAGGGTTCCCAGGGCAGTCGGACCCCATGACGATGCCAATGATGCCTTTCATGGGCGGGATGGGAGGCATGATGTACGTGCCACCAGGACAGGTCAGTTTTGCTTTTGATTTTACTTCCATGGATTTAGAAAGAAAGAAAAAAATTTTTTATTCAAAAATCCTTACTTACTAATATTTAACTTACACGCTCGTTGATTGAACATAGTGTTTTAAAATGACATTTAGTATGGAAATGTCATTTTAAAACAGTGTTTAACAACTGTGTAACTTTTTATTATTAAGGGGGTAAGAATACAACAGAGATCAGTGTACATAACTTATTTAATTTTGAACCAAAATGGCAGCCACTCAGCATGTGCTATGCTCTAGGTTAGGACCTAGAACATAACGCTGGTATTCTGTGGCAGCCATTTCTATCTGTTCAAAATGTAACACATTGTGTGTAAGTGACAACTTTATTTGCCAATTTAACAACTAAAAAGTTCCAAAAGGGACACCTGCTCAGTATATTCTTGACTGCCAGGTACATTGCTGATGCACTAATATATTGAGTGTCAGCACTATGAAGACTTCATAATGCTACACCAGCCAGTCAGATCTAGACTTCATAATGCCACACCAGCCAGTAAGGCTCCAGGGAACAAAGTTGGATATTAAAAGTCATTTTGAAAGCCTTTTTTATTCTTGTAGTAAATCTGGCTAAACAGTATTTAGACTGGTAGCTTTTACAAAACTTCAGATGTCTAGCATGTGTGACAGTAGGGCAATAGCCCTGGCCATGAAATGACATGGCTTTCACATGACTGGAATACTGGTGCTGCTAAAAGTGTACAGCCAACTGCTTGTCAGCAGTTAAAGATCATTGTAATTTCCTCAGTAATAATATTCCACACAGGTTCTACGCCATTCCACACAGGCATAAGCCACCTTTAGGCGGTTATCACACTGCCCCGCGCTCCGCCGCGGAGCGCGGGGCGACAGATTTAATCATTGTATGCAAGTACCTCAGTTTGTATAGAAAACACGCGCGGCACTTCACACTGACAACGCGTCCGCGCGCCTGATTTTTTATATGAAAATCAGTGTGATAACCGCCTTACTATGTAAGGGATGAATGAATACAACTGCTGGACTCAGCCAATGCCAATACATAATATTATAGCTATAAGTAATTAAAAGTGAAAACTCATTGTCGCAAAAACAATCACTGTGAATTTGTACACACTAGGGTGCATCAATGTACGTTACACTGCATGCCTAACTGTCCAATGGACAAGGCGTTTCTTTAGGCGCCTGATTCACAGCGAGGGGTCTAGAGGACAGAGATCGGCGGTCCGTGTTGCCGTGTGTATTGTAAGGCCCGCCATATACGGACAGCTTGAAGCAGGTAGTATCGACGGCTTCAAGCTGCGACTGCATAGCAAACTACTGTATTATTCGTACACAATACAGTTGTGACTGCTTTGCGCGGTTGGCAGCACTGAAATTTCATCGTGCTGTCAAGCAGTTGCCAGGCATACACAGACTGCTCGAACTGTCTACTGCTCTCGCGCAGTTACCTTCGCCTGCGCTCTTCATTCCACGTCGCACGCGCTTGTGTCTTGTTGAGCAGTTAATACCAACTGTTGATCAATGGCAGCTTTAAGCTGATCTATGACTGCAAGAGCGTTACGTGTATGTTCATCACGAACTGTCCATGTATGGCGGGTCTGTCTAACCAACACAGACATTGTGCGTAACTACATAATGTGATCGCGTAGTCAGAGATTGCATTTACTTTCGGAGTACATTCCTTTTTTCCTTGAGTCACTTTAGGCATAGGCCCGGTTTCCACCAAAGCGGAGAGGAGACGAGACGAGCGGATAGGAGACGAAACGAGAGGAGAAAATGTGAGCTGTGCTTCAGGTGTCAGTTTTTTGCTGTCTTCTAGAGATGGGTTTGTAGCCAGCTAGTTTGGATAATAACTGATTATTATCTATTAATAGCCATTAATAGCCATCCATTGGCTAGTAACCCTGCTATTAATAGTTTCTTACGTTTTTTCTTCCACCTTTAAAATCAAATCAATATTAAAATCAAATATTACTCAAAGAAACAAAAAAGAACTAAAATATTAAAAAACATCAATGTAATTTATATAAACGACATTGTAGTTAAAAAAGAATCTAAATATATAAAAGGAGAAACTGACTGACTTAGTGACAGATCAACGCACAGCCTAAACGGCTAAACGTAGGCACTTGAAATTTGGAAGGGAGTAAGGGACGTAGCTTAAATACCGTAGAGGTGCACTAAGAAAGGAATTACCGAAATTCCCAAGCGAACGGGAATTAGCGGGAAAATCCTTTTGTATGAAAAATATAAACCGCTTAAGTCAGACGCTTGAAATTTGGCATGTAGGTACATTAGTAAACTTAAAGCTTAGTTACAACAAGGAATTCCCGAAATTCCCACGGGAACGGGAATTAGCGGGAAAATCCTTTTGTATGAAAAATCTAAACCGCTTAAGTCAGACGCTTGAAATTTGGCAGGTAGGTGCGCGTAAGATAGATGAAGGGGTAAAACGGGATCCACGCGTACGAAGTCGCGGGCGGCCGTTAGTGCTTAATAACAGGCGATACTAAAAAAATACATAAAATACCCAGAAAATGTCAATAAATAGTAAAAACTCACATATTTTTTGACTTTTTTTGTCGATAAAAATAGGTTTAGTAGTTCCGCCTATTTTCATATGTGCACTTTCTCAAGACTCATACTGTACTAGCGGCCGCCCGCGACTTCGTACGCGAGGATCCCGTTTTACCCCCTTCATCTATCTTACGCGGTTTAGATTTTTTCATACAAATGTTTTTTATCGCTAACTCCCGTTCCCGTGGGAATTTTGCAATATCCTGTTGTAACTAATTTACTAAGGTACCTGCATGCCAAATTTCAAGCGTCTATCTTACATGGTTTAGATTTTTCATACAAAAGGATTTTCCGGCTAATTCCCGCGCCCGTGGGAATTTCGGGTATTCCTTTCTTAATGCACCTCTACGGTACCTAAGCTACGTCCCTTCCAAATTTCAAGTGCTAAATTTGTAAACTATGAAGGGATATGTTTAATCATTAGTATAACATTAATAGCAGGGTTACCATCTGAAATCGGCTATTATTGGCTATTAATGGCTAATAACTGCTTTTAATCCGTTATTAGCCAATTGCTATTAATCGGATTATTAGCACTTACCCATCTCTACTTTCTACAAATCGTCTGACGCCTTCGAGTGTGCGACGTAGGAGTAGAAGACAGCGGGGAAAGATAGGAGTTCGCGAGGCACTCTGCCTTGGTGGAAACTGGGCCATACACAGGGTTTGGCGCGAAATTTAAAGTAGAGATTGATTATCTGGGCGCATTTTGCGTTATGCAAAGATGCAAACTCCCACATTGCTCCTTCCCTAAGTGCTCTGCTGCACAGTTGGCTAATGAATTGATGCCATAATGTGCTGAAAGTACCCTAAGTAAAAATTCACACGCTTCTGTGTGATCTTTGATCGGAATTATGCGGTTGCGCGTTTGACTTGAGCTCTAGATTTTAGACCACTTTCTGTAGGACCAGGTCAGTGCCTTATTTAATTCATTAAACATTGGGTCTGGATTCCTAAAGGCATATACCGTTTCATTCCAAAATGGCATATTTTTTATTTATCCTCCTTTGGGAATCATGTGATCTGGTGACTTGCAAAGCCAAACGTGTTTTGACGCTTGCTATCAACGTCAAACTCTGGAGCAATTTGCACATTAAGACGGCCGCTAATGAGATCGTCTTTTGGATACTGGTAAGTTTGTATAATTTTATCATGTTGTACGACATCTTCCACAGAACTCCTATATGGACTACGCTGGGCAAACGCAACAGCTTCCATTATCAGCTACCCAGTACACCCCAATGTCTGGCGAACAAGCTCAGACAGGGTCTGGGTCTGGCTACCATAACTACACTGACGACAAGTGGTCTCGTGACCGTCGCGCTCAACAGGGTACTTCCCAAGAGAATAGGAATCAATCCAGCTATAAATCTGACAGCAGACAACAATTCCGAGACAACAACACCTCGAGACGCCGTAGCAGATCCCCGCGAGATAATCGTGACAGATCCAGGGGCAGCCCTAAACGGGGAAGGTATGATGAAGGTGACTTCCGTTCGCAATCCAACCGCGACTCTCAGAGATATACACCCGATCGCGCAGAGACTTACACTTCTCAAAACTATGATAGGAGTCAGAAACAACCCTCCTTTAACAACGACCCTGTAACTTCGAACAAACCACCGCTCTTGAGCACTCCGGCTCAGAATCGGTGGAACAGTGGACAACAGTTCAATCATGACTCCAGTGGAGACAGGTCTCAAAATTGGAACAAAAATCAGACAAGTTCTAATGATGAAAAATCTAATTATCGCAAACATATGGAATCGAAACAAAACCAATCCAAAGGTGTTTGGAAAAATCCGATGCAAACTTCTTGGGGCCGGCAAGACGCAGCTACTTCTAGGGAAGAAATACAATCACAACCATCACAATTTAAATGGACAAATCCAAACACGGGTAAGGGTCAAACGAATAGTGGTGGGCCTGTTGAGCAAAGGCAGTCCTTACTGGGAAATCCACCACAAAGAAGTTGGGAACCTAATAAGAATGCACCCAAGCCAAGTAATGTCACCAATTACCCAAAGCAAAAACCTCAAAAACCTGCAAAATCAAAGAAGAATAAGGGCAAGAAGAAAGGTGTGATGCCCACACTGAAGGATGACTCGATCCTGAGATATAGAGCGGCGGGTCAAATCGCAAATGAGATAGCGAAAGAGCACATAAATATTATATCAAAGGAGTTTTATTTGAAGAATCTGAGGAAATCGGTGCGATCCCGGTTGGAAGTACTTTTAGACGCGAATATTGGGATGCCACTGGATCAAATGATCAAAACATACCGAATGACGTTTCCGTCATATACGGATCGCGATTATTGCAAAGCTGTAGTGGAGCAGATACCAGCTGATGCGAGGGCGAAAATAGAGGCAACAGGTAAATTTATCTTTATATGCAGGGTTCCACGACGACTGGTCTTTTGCTGGCCATATCCAGACACCTTCCGCGACCTTCACCGGATCGCCTGTCTACTTAGTGTGGGGCCTGACGACACTACGTCTTCCGGCTCGTGGTCGCCACTCGGGAACTTGTCTGCCACAACGGCTCAGCTCTACGAGCTATGTGCCATGCCCACTGCCACTTGACGCGGTTGGACCGGTCGTCGTGGAAGTCCTTGGGTGGTGGTTGAAACAAACGAACTAATTAAATACAGGGTTATTTTAAAGAAGATTTAATGCTCTAACCGTCAAAGCATTAAATCTTCTTCTGTTATGTGGACAAATGATGCCGCATTGTGACTCAATCATGCTGAAGCTAACGTGCCATCCGAAGCATGGACACATTTATTTTCGGTCAGTCTGACTGACGCGTTACGCTTATCTCCTAGCTGGGTCTATGAGGGGCTCTCTACCGCGGTTTGTGCACTTAAACCACATAGAACAAATATTGTTATGTCTGGATGTGCCTTATTTTTACCCCAGGGAAATGGCCAGTCCATACCTAGGTTATATGGAGATCGGCCTATTAAAACCTGGGGTGCTCCTCTGCTGCCGCCTTATACGGCGGGACCCAACACACACATTTCGTGACGGGACTTTGGCCGCTGTGCTGGGGTAGTGTATCAGCCTCGACATTAATTTCCCTTGTAAGGCGTCAGTCAAACTGCACTAGGATTTTGGGTCTTGGCGTCTACGTGTTCACACTTCACAGTGCCACGCTTCGGCGAGTGAGTCGAAATGGTTAAGAACCACACGCGCAGTCACTATATCACTGTGAACGATACGAGTGGATCGAGCCACCCGCGCCCGTCTCACGAAGAGGCGGGAGCACTTTTTGATTAACACGCGCCCACGCTAGTCTCAACTAGCACGTTTCCCTCCACTCTGAAATAGGCCTAACATATAGGGGCCCTTGGAGGACACCTGTGGGGCTACTCCGAAAAAAGTTATCCGAAGTTTCGAATGTTGCCATCCCTCTCACTCGAAATCTAGATGCCAGCATGAGCGATGGTGACAGCTAGATCCGAAACTACGTTAACAGCGTCACGGAGTAGCCCTGCTTATCTTTCCGAGAATCGTGTATCCTAGCTGAAAACCCATGGTGGTAGGACCACAAAGCGTCCAGCGATTGTCCAATAGATAAGTTTAGTTTGTTAGTTAGATCTATGCAGCGTATCACTGTACTAGTATGGTGTTAAGCCCGCAAAGATCGCTCTTTTCAACGCAATACGAGTTTAATAGCGATTTTTTCTGATGGGTGACCATTTTATCAAGTGATTAATGACAATCGAATTGTAACAAGTACATCGCGTTCCACTTGATTCTATATCTTGATCTGGTACTAGCGTCTCACAGGCAGTCATCAAGATTGCAGAAGACGTTAACAAATCAAAAAACTGTAAAAATGTGAGACTTCTATGTATGTTTTTATTATATTGCAGGAGAAAACGTTGACGTTGCAAAATTGAATATTAATCAACCAACGGCGAGCAAAAATCAACCGGCGGCTAACAAAAATCAACCGGCGGCTAACAAAAATCAACCGAAGGCTAACAAAAAACCGGCGGCAAACAAAAATCAATCAGCTGTGAGCATAACTCAACCGGGAACGTTCCAGCCTCTAATGAATTTGCCGGTCCTGACAAACTTAAAGCCTCCGAATCCTTCGGAAAAGCTGCCCAAATATCCTCAAGGAGGTATGTGAATAATGTTTGTTACTGTGTTTTTAAACTTATGTTCTTACTATTAAGGTTCAAACTCAACTGAGAAAGATTATCAATTTGTGAGAGGTTTATGTGCAGACGACATTTCAGACTATTTTTTGTTGCAAATTCACCCTTATTAATGTTAATGATTTCAACTTTTATTTTTTCTGTGTTTTAGCTAACAAGATTTTCTAATTTTATTTTGTTTTTGCTTTCAGACAAACAAATATACAAAGGTAAGTAAGTCAAAATATAAAATTGGTTTGTAAAAATGTACAAATTATGAAATACCTAAGAATTCAATATACACAAATGCTGTAACGAGTAGACACACAATAATATTTTATTTATAACATATCTCTCCCACTATACACAGAAAACTAAAGAGTAAAGATATAATAAAAGGCTTCAAATTCAAAAAGATAATAACTTTGACATATGCATGAGCACACACAACTATGTATTGCTTTCTGGTGTCCATATTGAAGATAACTGCAATTAACTGCATTATTTCAGAACAAAAGAAGCTAAAGAAACTAGAACATGGGAAAGAGGATATTTATTCGCTGCCACAGCCGATGCAGAGGGTGCTGGACGAAGAACTACAGGCCCTCGTGGATATAGTAAGATATTTACATTTTATACTGTTCTAAAATCACCAAGATGTAATGTAAAATGCAGCCATGACTGGATTAAGGAATATATTAGCTTGTCCCTAGATGAGGAGTTCACTTTAGACTTAGACGGTTCAACTGGCAACTTTCATATAAACAAAATCTAAAATATCTAGTTGTTCAGACTAATTAAATTAGTTGCTTGCCCATTAGCTCTTGTTTACCCATATGATGATGTAAATTTAACTGTTAATTCTGGTACTAATTTAGTGATAACTAGCGGCCGCCCGCGACTTCGTACGCGTGGATCCCATTTTACCCCCTTAGGGGCGGAGTTTCGTAAAATCCTTTCTTAGCGAATGCCTACGTCATAACGTAGATGTTACGAGCTGAAAATTGGCATGCGGGTAGCCGCATGCCAATTTTCAGCTCGTTCCGTCCAGTGGTTTGGGTTGTGCGTTGATAGATCACTATGTCAGTCAGTCACCTTCGAGTTATATTTAGTGATAATATTATTTTTCAGTACAAGTCTATAGTGAAAACGGCAGACAATGAAAAGGAGCAAGCCCTCTGCGATCGCTTCAGTACCATCGGAGTGGATATTACGCGAAAGGTACGTTTATACATACCGAAGTAGTTGCAATCTATAAATACTTTTTCTTTCTTTCAATCTAAGGCAACGAAGATCTACCAGAAATCTTATTGTATTCAGTGTGGCAGGGCAATGGATTGCCATAGATAGAGCATAGACGATGATGATTGGACCACCACTGTTGGACATAGATGTAGCTTATTCTAAAGCCCGGTCTGTGAGCACATAGAATTTTGTCCAATGACCCCAAGCTACCCATCCTTATCGCTCGCGCGTAATTATATTGCTGTCGCGACTGTGCGACGGGCGCCCGCAGTGAGTGTGCGAGCGCGACAGCAACATAATTACGCGCGAGCGATAAGGATGGGTAGCTTGGGGTCATTGGACAAAATTCTACGTGCTCACGGACCAGGCTTTAGAATTCTTATTGCAAATTGTCTTTGCGTGTCTTTTAGTCAGACCTAGCAAGTGAAATCCAGTATGTCTTATAATCATTGCAATAACGTTCCAAGTAATGTGGTTAAAAGTCGCCCTGCATTGCCCGTTTTGTGGGTAGCATGCTTACCAACAAACTCGTGATATTCAACTGTATTCCGCAGGTGTTTAAATTGAACATTACGACACAAGTTCTATCAGTGTTATACTTATCAACAGACTGAAATTGGACCGTATTCCGCAGGTGTTAAAACTGAACGTCACGAAGCGTCTTCTATGCATCAACACGAACCTCGTCGTTCGAGTGTACATAAACGGAAAGCCGCCGAAAAAGCTGGAGGTGGAGGAATTCATGCGGAAGAATGGCGCCGTCAGCTGCAAGAAGTCTGTCAAAAGGGCGCCTATTTACGTCGCCACCNTGTTAACGAAGCGTTGAATGGCGCGCCCGGAGAGGCTTAGTTCAAACGATCATAGCAAATGTTTCGATAGGGATAGAGACATGCGATTTTTGGTTTTACAAAGATAATACGATAGAGAATAATACAAAGTAATAAAAACCACCTATTATAGGGGCATTTTTTTGAGAAATTGATCAAATAACCAAAAAAATACGAATTTTTAAGCAGATTTTTTTCAAAAAGTATCATTTTTTATTATTTGTTGGCACATTCTGGGTCTTTTATGTATTTTTTTAGTATCGCCTGTTATTTAGCATTATTACTGTTTTTATTTTATCAGGATATACCTCTTAGTTTAAAAGTTATTACGTTTTCTTTACGAGAAGTAATTGGATGAAAAAAAATTCTATAAAAAAATAAAAAAAATTCTCAAAAATTTTTTGACCTCTTTTTTGTCGATAAAAATAGGTCTAGTTTCACATATTTTCATATGTACACTTTAACGTGACTCACACTGTATTTAAGACCGCTATGGAATACCTGCCTTTTTTTTAAATTATAAAGATAATAACTTAAATACCTTTTAACAATATCTTCGAAATTATATGCAAGCGCATTGCTCACACAACATTATGTAATTTTTCCTAGTTTCCATATAGAAGAAATGTGCGATTAACTGCATTTTCAGAACAAAAGAAGCTAAAGAAACTAGAGCATGGGAAGGAGGATATTTACTCGCTGCCACAGCCGATGCAGCGGGTGCTGGACGAAGAACTACAGGCCCTCGTGGATATAGTAAGATATTTACATTCTTATACTGTTATAAAGCACCAGTGGCGGCGTAGCATGTGGTGGCACCCGGGGCGATCATCTCCTCCCCGTCATAAGTCCTAAGGCACCCCCTGGTACCCCCCAGGTTTTTGGTTTCCTACCGATTCGAAGATTGAAAGATAATCGCACCCCCCCCCGTATCATGACATAGACCGCAGATTTGCCATGCAGATGCGCCAGTGAGTACTAATCTTCGCGACTTTTGTCACCCCCTGATGCTTGGCACCCGGGGCGGACCGCCCCCACCGCCCCCCCCTTACGCCGCTACTGTAAAGCACCAAAAATCAAGATGTAATGTAATCTCCAGTACATTACGTGTAAAGTGTACCAGTCGACTGTTTGGTGTAGTGATACGAAACGCACTATTATGCCGA